TTTTATTAAAATTTATATAATTGAAAAAGAGGTAGTTATAGTGATATAAAAATTTGTAATAGACTTTAAAAAATAACTAAGGGACCTTGACTCCTAGACATGATATTACCTTGGCAATTTGTATACGAACGGGTAACTTATCCAGAAGAATAATAAATGTACTTTTTCGCGTGTACCACGCCCATCTCTGCCTGATACATTACGTTTTACGAGAACCCAAACATTAAAATTTACATTTTCAATGGGTTGCGCCCAAGTAAATATTGATGGATATTTTTTTTTTTTTTTTTTTACAATTATGAGGAAAGTTTAATTAAAGAGTTTTTATGTAAATGCTCTTTTAGTTAAATGCAGTCCAGTATAAACGTAAATCCCTTTAAAATGTCAGTTCTTATTTGCTACAATTTGTATATGTATACCTTGGGGCAGCATCCTTTCGGGCTTATCTGCCATATATCAAACGTTGCATACTTTTAGGCTCGGCATCTGTTTAAACTGCGAACCTTTTTGTTGCCTCCTGGCCATGTTGATATTTGCCACATACACCCACCCACCCACCTGTCGCCCACTCGCCCGCCCTTACCCCTTGTGCTGTTGCTCGATGACCATTTATGATTTATATGGCCGCGAGCATTTCGAAAATTCTGTATTGACTGAAGCGCGGAATTCGCGTTGCGTATTGTGAAATGCGCTAGGGCAACACCTCTGCAGAATATTCCAGATCTCCTTCCCTCTCCGCTCGCTGTCAATCGAAAGTCCATTTATTTATTACCATTTTTGTTTTTTTTTTTTTTTTGCTCTACCGCTCATGCATCCATTTATCGATAAATATTACGCTTCAGAGAAATATCTATAAAAACATATAGTAAACATATAGGTAGAACTCTGTCTGAGTGCATATCTAAAGGATGCACTCATGTGCACTCGACAAATATAAATGCCATAAATTAAATTTATAAAATATTTGCTATAATTTTCAACACTTAATTTATGTGCTCAGCATTTTGCTGAATTTTTAATTAATTGCCAAATTTATATGAACAATTTCAAGCTGCATAAAAGAGAAGAGAATGTATAAAAATTAAAAGAAAAAAGAAAAAAAAAATTAAACAAAAACTAACAAATATTAAAAAAAAAATAATAATAAAAATGTGATATTTTTAAGAGTATATATTACTTTTAGTTTTAGCAGATTTAGCATATATGCATATCATGGTATTTCTATTGTTTTTTTGGGATTCCTACTCCAGAAGAGTATATTTATTTCTGCACTTTCTATTTTATGCAGTTTTTAATATATATTTATTTATTTTATTAACACTTAAGTAAAATATATCACCTAAAAGTTATTATAGCTATTTGCTCTCAAGTTGTGGTTTAGAAAATATATTAAGAAATTTAAATCTTAGTCCTTCACATCTTTCAATATGCTAAAAGCTAAAAAATGTTTTTGGGGGCTAAACGTTGGCAATTAGTTGGTTACGCATTGCACTTGCTCGCATTCTCTGTTGCTGCAACAATTTTTAATTTGAAATTCCGGAAGGTAAAGACGTGTAGCAGGCAAAGCCAAAGACGTGACTCAGACGCTCTGCTAGCGAGCTGCTAGCTCTGGGGTCTGCTTGCCACACACACACACACACACACACATCCATACATACACATCCATACACACACACATGTGCGACACAGCCGCAGCGCGCATTGCAAGTATCTTGAGCTAA